AAAACAATTTGTAATTAACATATTAAAGTTTCAACAGTACACAAATGCATCAGTTACTGTGGTTTCTTATTACCAGAAATCTTTCAGAAGACTTCGCAATGGACTGTCTCACGAAGAGTTTTTAAGACAAATAATTCAGACTTTCTATGATCAACAAAAACACTACTCGGAAACATCAGCCAGTGAGTCATTACTGTCCCTTGAACCTTGGAGTAATTCAGATGGAGAAGTCATCCTGTGAACCTTGCTCAACAAACACCGCACATTCAACACCTAAAGAGAGAGGGCATCACCTTGAGAATTATGCAGCGGCACTTAAAGAATGTCCACCAACATCTGATGTGATAGTGTCAAGTGAGAAAGAGCAGAGCACAGTGAAAAGTGTCCGAGGTCTTAAATTGTAGTGATAATGAAAATGCTTCTTTTTTTAAGCTCAACCAGCCAGACTTTAGGACAAACTTAATTACTCAAGATGTTATGGGGTCAACTGATTTTTCCAATACATTTAATTCCAAAAAAGGGGTTAATATTTTTTTCTGGAATATTCAAGTTGAACACTTTCAAATCAAAACTGAAAACATATTTAATACAAAAATGCCCGTATACAGTGGAGGATTTTTTTACATGTCAAAATATTTCTATTTAATTGTGCCTGTATTTTATATGTATATATATAATTTTTTATTGTACTGTCTTTTTATATTGATTGATTACATGTAAGTATTCATTTGCTGTATTTAATAACATCATTATGTATTTTGTGACGATTGTTAATGCATTGTGAAATGTCTACAACAATAAATTGATTTGATTTGATTTGATTCTAAAATCAATGAAATATCTGTTACTTTGTTTTCTTAATGGTAAGTGTGAAAATGTGAAGGCAATGGACGATGAAACTGATTAAAAGAAGTGGTTTGTATATTTAGTTGTTTGTTGATATTTTTGTATAGTAGAATCAGAGATGCAATGAAACATATACTGTATTTGCTATTACATTTTTTAGTCCTTGATGCTTTGATAATCATATTAGTTTTGTCTGCTGTCTTTAATGCTAAATTATTTGTTTTGAATTTTTTAAGTACCTATAGATATAATTTCTTTAATATTTCAAAAGACTGTATTGATAAGGCACAGCAATATTTCTAAAGTTTATAACAGCTGAATTAGTTTTGCTAATGATTTATTGTGAGTGAAAAAACTGAACATGAAAGGATTTGTTATCTATATACAGGGTGTTCATTTGAAAACTTTCCATATCTGTTGTGTGCAAAGGTGAGGCTTTTTACACTTGTTTGTTCTCATTTCCCCCTAATTTGGACATGCCAAATCCAAAAAAATTATTTTAAATTTCGAAAAATGCCCCAAAAGGGCCCAATTTGGGGGGTAGGGGTGCTTTTTGAGAAATTTTCAAATGTAAACATGGGTTGTGTGATACATCAATTTAAAGGTCTAATCACCCCGACTATTTTGGTGCAATAAAAATGTAATCATCTTTAACCGTATTTACAGGGTGGGTCAAAACGTTTTAAAAAAGGACTTTGAAGTTAAGTACCGTATTACCCGAACTACTGAACGGAGCAGCGCCAAATTTCTTTCCAAGCTTATTCTTGATCTACTCTTTAGGATAACTTGTAATAAGGGCATTTTCCATGTTATCTTCTAATTTTTTAAAAATCTCAAATTTGAAGAATGAAAGAAAGGTGAAAACTCAAAATTCTTAAATAGCAAGGTATAGCAAATTTCATACCACGTGAAAGGTCCTTTTTTAACAAACATTTTACGTATTTAAGTTTTCTTTCTATCTCTTACCGTTTAAAAATTGCAGTAGAAAAACTGAATTTTCCAGAGTAATATTGTAACTAGTTTTCTAATAAAACAGCCAAAATTCGTCTCTAGACACATTTAATGGTGCATTAACTGAAGGAAACAATTCATAATTATTGTTACCCTGATTGACAAACAAGTCATTACGTTTTAATTTGTGAAAAACAAGTCTTATAGCTGATGAGGACAACCTACATGTGGGCCGCTTTCTGTAGTACCATTGACTAGTCAATGGTAGTACTATTTTCAAAAAGTACTATTTTCTGTAGTATATAATCGAATATGGTGTACACTTAAAAAAATAGACTTTATTTTTACTTATTGGGCAGAACAAAAGTGTTTCAGGATAATTGCAAAGTGTTTAACAATAAATATCCAGGTAAGACCTTAAGTCATAAAGCTGTAAATGATTTAGTTAAGAAATTTCTGAAACTGGCTCAGTTACCAATGAGAAAAGAACAGGATGAAGGGTCCAAGATGTACTGACACAAGTAAAAGTAGTTGATCAATTTGTAATTAATCATAATACATCGTTGAGCAAAGTGCAATGTGTTTTGTTAGAAAACTAGTTATAATTTTACCATAGAAAATTCAGTTTTTCTGCTGCAATTTTTAAACGGTAAGAGATAGAAAGAAAACTTAAATACGTAAAATGTTTGTTAAAAAAGGACCTTTCACGTGGTATGAAATTTGTTATACCTTGCTATTTAAGAATTTTGAGTTTTCACCTTTCTTTTATTCTTCAAATTTGAGATTTTTAAAAAATTAGAAGATAACATGGAAAATGCCCTTATTACAAGTTATCTTAAAGAGTAGATCAAGAATAAGCTTGGAAAGAAATTTGGCGCTGCTCCGTTCAGTAGTTCGGGTAATACGGTACTTAACTTCAAAGTCCTTTTTTAAAGCGTTTTGACCCACCCTGTAAATACCGTTAAAGATAATTACATTTTTATTGCACCAAAATAGTCGGGGTGATTAGACCTTTAAATTGATGTATCACACAACCCATGTTTACATTTGAAAATTTCTCAAAAAGCACCCCTACCCCCCAAATTGGGCCCTTTTGGGGCATTTTTCGAAATTGAAAATAATTTTATTGGATTTGGCATGTCCAAATTAGGGGGAAATGAGAACAAACAAGTGTAAAAAGCCTCACCTTTGCACACAACAGATATGGAAAGTTTTCAAATGAACACCCTGTATATAAAAGGCAAAGCCATCACTGACTCACTCACTCACTCATCACTAATTCTCCCACTTCCCATTTAGGCCTACCTAGGAGGCTGAAATTTGGTACACTGATTCTTTAGGCATTAAATAGGAAGTTGTTTTTATTTTGATCAGACTCGCGGGCTCCGCCCCAGTGGCTCTGGAGTTTCCCATGTTAACCTTATGAGTACTCATATTTAAATGGAATTAATGAATCTTAACAGCTGTTTCAATTAAACAAGTTGGTTCTGTTCTATGATGTTCAATAGCATTAAAGTTACAAGGATTACCAACAGGGTGCAGCACTATTATTTAAATTTAAATTTATGACAACAGCTAATTTGCAACCAAAAGGTGAGTGAGCGTGTAGCGAACGAACTTCAACCTGGAGGCAAGTTAGCGTAGCGAACGAGCTAACCTGAAGGCAAGTGAGCGCGGCGAACGAGCTCCAACATAAAGGTGAGTGAGCGTAGCGAACGAACTTCAACCAGGACAGGATTGAGCCATGCGAACAAGCTCACTTATGAAGTTAAACGGGGCGAAGCCCGCGGGTACAGCTAGTTTAATATAAAGAAGAGTTTAATATAAAGATATAATAACAGATTTAATTATTAGTATTTTTGCAACTTCAAAATTTAAATTTAAAACGTCAATAATAAATTAAAAGATGTGTAACTAAGGGAGATGAAGGTAAATCTGGTAAATCATGTATGTGAAAGTTTTACTCGAAGATTTGATCAGTTTTTCTCATATCAGCCACAAGATTTAAAATTAATCAAAACCAAAATGGTAGTATCCACTTATTACCAGATTTAAAAGTCATAACTTACATTTCTATTAAGGCCATAAAAGTTTAAATTTGTTTCTAAAAGCGTTGGCGGATGTGTAACTATTATATGCAAGAGACAAAGATTAAAATGTTTCTATTTTGTGTCCTCTTCCCGTTGCAAAGCACGGGTACAACAGCTAGTAGCCTATAAAAGCCTAAACGAGTCTTATTTCAATTTATGTACCTGTCTGTCTGTGAAGCCAAAATGCCAATTTACTTAAATTTTTCTTTTTAAATCAGCTGTTTTAAAATTTTATTTGAATATTTATTTATTTTACATTATATCCCAAACTATGAAAGATAGGCCTAATGTCCTTCATTTTTTTTTTATCATTTTTAATCAGGTCTTTCTGCACTTTTTCCATTAATAATATTCTTATATATATATGGTCTACAGTTTTAAAAATATTTATTAAACTTCGTAAATTATTATCAAAATCAATAAAAACAGCTGTTCTTAAAGAAAATTAAAAAAATACCTGATTGATATTTAATAAAGTTACCAGCTGTAATTACTCATTAACAACATACACTCTTTTCAGTAACATCAAAGTTAGATCCCTAACTCTAATACTTTTTTGGAAAAATGTACCTTAAATTAAAGAGATTAACATGGGATGGATAAGCGGGAAACCCCACTTAAATGTTTACTATTTTTTATATCTGGGTTTGTGTACATATTATAATGGAAAAGGTGAGAAAGAATGAGCAATTTGAAATATTTAACCAAATAAGAAAACTGAATTGACACAGTACTGTTCTTGAGCAATCATTGAAAGAACTAATTGAAAAAAAAAATGGAAACAGAAAAGTCATAGCACGCTACCAAGTAGAAGAAATAGAGATATTGTTTTATTAAAAATTTTAGGCCTATTATCGTTACCACTTTTTGAAGCAAACATTTACTTTGTGATCATTGCAGAGGAAACCCCTGTAAGGCGAAATAAAACTGTTTCTTCCAGGACATTAATCTCTGTTTCCATAAAAGTTAAGTGACAAAATTATGACTGTTGTTAGTGTTAAAATAACTCCTGTAATACCAATACTTGACAATTGCTGGATTTCGAGCAACAGGTTCACTAGTACGGTATATTTAAAAGATACTAAGTCAGAATATATTAATTACTAGCTTCACCTGAATCATGCAGACATCTGGTTTAACAATCTTTCGTGTAAAAAGCAGAGGAATTTCTGAGAGGAAAATCGGGATACAATCCGATCTGCCTTCAGCCACAGCCTTACGAACATTTCCAGCCATGAAAAACGATAACGATCTGAATATTCCTGAAAGCAAAAAAGTTTTACATACAAATAAACCATGGACGATCATTGTGATTGAGATAAATATAATTGCTTTAAATATAAGTCCTCAATTGTACATATTAATATATTTATGTACCAGTATTTAACTATCTAGTTTAGTTTACAAACTTAAGTACTGTTGGAAAACCAATTAAAAGTGTTCATAGATTTAATGGTGTAGTTAAATAGCTGTTTACTGACATTATGTAGGCTATAAAACATGGAACCAATAGCTTTGTAAATACTGTATTAGTTTAGCCACTCGTCAAAATTGATGACAGAAGTCCAACGTGTACATCACAAACGTCAAGTCTAATTGGTTTAAGGAGTACCAGAACTATCTAAATTTTATTTTAATAAGATTTATTTTAGGACAATTTCTAATAAGATAAATAACTAATGATGGAAATAGTATGGCTGTATGGACAAAGATACAACTTAAAATAATTTTTTGTTCAAACACTTTTTTAAAATAGTCCTTGTTAACTTGAACGCGCAAGGTTACCTATTTGTTTACAGTCAACCATAGATAAGATTATTTACTTAATGCCAGATAAGCACAACAATAATGTAACAAAATGTTGCTTTATAAGTGTGCCATGGACTGAATTCCCCTTACTTTGATCATCTATATACAAAAGGCAAAGCCCTCACTGACTCACTCACTCATCACTAATTCTCCCACTTCCCACTTACCTAGGAGTCTGAAATTCGGTACACCGATTCTTTGGGCATTAAATAAGAAAACTAAGTATTTTTTATTCTGATCGGGCACTCGGGCTCCGCCCCAGTGGCTCTGGAGTTTCCCATGTTAACCTTATGATTTGTCATATTTAAAAGGAATTAATTAATCTCAACAGCTGTTTCAATTGAACAAGTTGGTTCTGTCTTATGATGTTCAATAGCATTAAATTTACAAGGATTACCAACAGGGTGCAGCACTATTATTTTTTTTTAATTTATGACAACAGCTAATTTGCAACCAAAAGGTGAGTGAGCGTAGCAAACGAACTTCAACCTGGAGGCAAGTTAGCGTAGCGAACGAGCTAACCTGAAGGCAAGTGAGCTCAGCGAACGAGCTCCAACCTAAAGGTGAGTGAGCGTAGCGAACGAACTTCAACCAGGACGTGATTGAGCCATGCGAACGAGCTCATCTTGAAAATTAAGAAGTTAAACGGGGCAAAGCCCGTGGGTACAGCTAGTCAAATATAAATTAGTGATTAGAAGAAGACAATCAAAGGTGGTATGAATTATATCCTAAGTAATGGATATTAATAGATTTCCTTCAGCTAGAAAAATGGTTTGAAGCAAATGGTTTGGCGTTAAATAAAGATAAATCTCGTCTGATGGAATTCCAAAAAAACTACCAGAAATCAGACTCATCCACAAAATTAGATTTGAACCTTTCTCTAAATAAATTCAAAAAGCTCAGTTAAATTCTTAGGCATCACAGTGGATCAAAAATTGACTTGGCAGAATCATATTGGTGAAGTTGTAAAAAAATTAAATAAAGCACATTTTATGTTCATTATTTTATCTAAATCTGTTGACATATCCACTCTCATGATGGTTTATTACGGTTATGTCTATCACTTGTTTAATTATGGTGTGATCTTCTGGGGAAATTCAGATAGGAGAAAAAAGTTTTTAAAATGCAGAAGAGAATTATCCGTATTATTTTTGGACTTAAAGGAAAAAAATCCTGTAAGAGTATTTTTAAAAATCACAAAATTCTTACTTTTCCCAGTATATACAATATACATATATAATTTAATTTTGTATATAAGACAAAATTTATCAAATTTTCCAAATAACTCTGATTTTTACAACTATAACACAAGACAAAAGAATAGCCTTACATACCCTAGACATAACACCTCCACCATTGAACATTCTCCATATTACTCTGGTATAAAATTGTATAATAGCCTGCCTAGCACCATAAAGGGTTTGACAGAATTTAAAAGATTTAAAACCAGTTTATTCAAATTGTTGTCAGATAAATGCTGCTACAAGATTGGGGACTTTTTCAATTAGCTATTAGTATGTCAAATCAATAGTTAGTTGTAATGGTTGAACAGTAAGTAGTTGTAGGGGAGAAAGTGTATACATATAGATTATAGCTCTTAATTAATTAGTGCTGTAAATTTGCCAAATGTATAGTTATGTTTATTCTTGACTTGACACAATTCATGTATAGAAATGTACTGTTTGAAAAAAGGATTTTTTTATTTGATTTGAATAGGTCACAATTAGATAAATTAATTAAACACAAAAGAGGCTTCATGTTGTATGTTGTTTTTTCCAAATCACTGTGATATAATAATATATATGAGGTTACAATACCTTAATCGCCAAGTGATATATTTTATACAACACGAAGGCTTAGCTATGGGCTCACCCCTGTCCTGCATTCTTGCGAAAATTTTCCTAAACAGGTTTGAAAACAAACATTTATGGTCTGACAACAACCGACACAGAAATAAAATAGTATTTTATTACAGTTATGTCGATGACATAGTATTATTATATGACGTTAATCCCAGAAAAGTTCAGGTATTCAGCCTCCACCCGAATATGAAATTTACTGCAGAAATTGAAATGAACAATTCGCTCAATTTTTTGGATCTAACTCTCATCAAAACCAACAACAACTTATCATTCAAGATTTATAGAAAACCTACAGCAACTGACACAACCATTCACGCATCCTCACATCATCCTATGTCCCATAAACTAGCCGCTTATAACAGCTTTGTAAACAGGTTATTATCTGTACCACTCTGCCCTGAAGACTTCACAGCGGAGAAAAACATATTAAAGTATATGACAGTATCCAACGGCTACAACCCTAATATCATTGATAAATTAATCAAGAAACAGTCCAAAAAATCCAAAAACCCAATTTCAAAAAGCACAGCAAATATAACAGGTTATGTACCAACTGAATTTGGCAGTAATTTCCCCTTAACATTAAAAAATGAACTACAAAAACATGGTAAGGTCGTTGCGTTTAGAACATCGAACAAGCTTGGTAATATTTTGAATAAAAAGAAAGAAAAACTTGATGTAAATAAAAAATGTGGTGTATACAAAATAACTTGTGACGACTGCGAGAAGTTCTACATATGTCAAACAGGACGGTCATTCGAAAAGAGGTTTAAAGAACATTTGCCTAAAGCCATCAGTATACAAAAATCTAACTTTGCAGCACATCTCACCAAAAGCAACCACAACTATACAAATATTAATACTAATTTAAAACCATTACACATTTGCAGAAAAGGACGTAGATTAACTGCATTGGAAAATTATGGGATTTATAAAGCTACAAGGAACCAGCCTCAAAATTTATTGAATGACAAATGTGTTTTCCAGTCAAATGCATTGTTTGAATCGCTCATAAAACTAAAGAGCTCACAACTTAACTAGATGATACAGGTGGCAGAGGACAAAGTTCAGGTTGATAAACCAGGAAGCGGCACACCATCAGTCGAGTCTCGGCATGTGATCAGACCTGTACTATGTTGTAACGACCGTTTACCGTAAATTTGCTAGTAGGCCTACTTAATTGTATTTTTGTCCGTTATTGTGTTGTGTACGTGTGTGTCGGAAAGACTATGACGTGACCCTTATGGTTTAAAAAAGTTTTTGTAAGATTTGAGAATGACGCATTGACGTCGAAACGTACGTAATCCTATTTTTGGACTACATGGATCACTTGGCGATTAAGATATTGTAACCTCATATATTATTAAAAGAGGCCTCTATCATAAACCACAACAAAATTGCAGTAGATAAATTGCATGAATTTCAGTGCTACCAATCTTTATATTTGAACCATTACCAGTTTAAAAATGGAAATGAATCGTGTTTAATGGATGCTGCTATTACTATAGTAAAATTTCAAAGTTGACTGATGACAAAAACAACAGTGCTCAAAGCATAGTGAAGGCTAAAGTAATAAAGCACAGCAGGAAACAGGGTACGGTAGTAATACAATGACTCAGAACATAACCAATTGAAATGATAGAGAGACAAAAACCTTACAATAAGACTTCTTGATCCATAACAAATTCAACTTTATCCAGATTATTACTACACTGCCCTCGCAAGCTAAAAGGCAGTAACTACAAAAATATCACATTTTGAGGTAAGTGCAAATCTTTATGTTTTGAAGGTCGAGGAATCCAAAAATGTAGGCGAAAACACCGTAGGCCTATCTCAAGCCGTTTTTGAGATATCAAACTAGTTATTTACCGTATCTACCAACAAATGTGCAAATACTAAGTCAAAACACCGTAACTTTGGTTTACTTGGCCAGAAAACAGTAAGCAAAAAACAGTTACGGCTTTCTGGAATAGTATTTCTGCCTTACTGTTTTTTGGCTTAGTATAGTCTCGCCCAAATCCACTTACGGTTCAAAATTTTACCATTAAAATGCATAGGAAAGCATAACATTAAATTTTGAAGACCTTCCTATAATTTCTGTTTTACATACTCTATGCATCACATGAATATCTTGTTGTTAGGTGGTAAATGAATTTTACAAAAAAACAACTTGGAGGGAAAGTATCACAATAGGCTGTTTTCAGTGGGACTCCCTATTTTGTTGACCCGGGTCAACAAATTCAATATATTTAGAAAAAAACCACTTTGAATGTAGAAATTTACATGAAACTTGGAACGAAGGTATATCCACATGTATTCTACTCGTATGTAAATTTGGTAACGATAAAAAAATATTTATCTATTTTATTAACTAAAAACCAGCCAAAATAGCTCATTTTATTTTGTTGACCCGGGTCAATCGCCTAAAAAAAGTACTTAGAAATAAACTATATACATGAAACTTGGAACGAAGGTATATCCACATGTATTCTACACGTATGTTAAATTTGGTAACGATTAAAATATATTTACCTATTTTATTAACAAATAACTGCCGTAAAAAGCTAATTTCATTTTGTTGACCCGGGTCAATCACCAATAAAAGGTACTTAGAATTAAACTATATATATGAAACTTGGAAAGAAGGTATATCCACATGTATTCTACACGTATGTTAAATTTGGTAACGATTAAAAAATATTTATCTATTTCATTAACTAAAAACCGGCGAAAATAGCTCATTTTATTTTGTTGACCCGGGTCAATCACCAATAAAAGGTACTTAGAATTAAACTATATATATGAAACTTGGAAAGAAGGTATATCCACATGTATTCTACACGTATGTTAAATTTGGTAACGATTAAAAAATATTTATCTATTTCAATAACTAAAAACCGGCCAAAATAGCTCATTTTATTTTGTTGACCCGGGTCAATCGCCTAAAAAAGGTACTTAGAATTAAACTATATACATGAAACTTGGAACGAAGGTATATCCACATGTATTCTACACGTATGTTAAATTTGGTAACGATTAAAAAATATTTATCTATTTCAATAACTAAAAACCGGCCAAAATAGCTCATTTTATTTTGTTGACCCGGGTCAATCGCCTAAAAAAAGGTACTTAGAATTAAACTATTTACATGAAACTTGGAACGAAGGTATAACTGATAAATATTTTTTAATCGTTACCAAATTTAACATACGTGTAGAATACATGTGGACATACCTTCTTTCCAAGTTTCATATATATAGTTTAATTCTAAGTACCTTTTATTGGTGATTGACCCGGGTCAACAAAATGAAATTAGCTTTTTACGGCAGTTATTTGTTAATAAAATAGGTAAATATATTTTAATCGTTACCAAATATTACATATGTGTAGAATAAATGTAGATATACCTTCTTTCCAAGTTTCATATATATAGTTTAATTCTATGTACCTTTTATTGGTGATTGACCCCTTTTTACTGTTAATGTTTACTAGGCTAAAAAGCCGTATCACAACCTACCTCCTTTTGGCATGGGAAAATTGTGTTTCTTAAAAGACATTTTCCTAAGCCAAAAAAAGGTAACTTGAGATACGGCTTTTTGGCCTAAAAAACGTTAACAGTAAAAAGGGTAACTGGATTAAAAAATATGAATGTATCATTATACATTAATAAAAATATATTTTTTAGTCTCCTACATTGAAAAAGAAGTAGTTTGAAAAAAAAAATTATTGAATTCGGTCAACTGGTTAAATTAGAAATCGAAAAAAACATGACTCTGACTGGCTTTGACAAAACATCCATTTTCTCAGATTCGTCATTTATGTTGATACGGCCTTTTTGCTTACCACGGCAGTACAGTACTAATACTTTTACAGAAACCAACCAAAACCAGTTCATTACTTAAACCACAATGTATATTGTATAGAAGTGCAGCAGCCACCAGAAAATTTAGTTTTTGTTCTTCTAAGTAATTCTCGCTATCTAATTCTACAGGAATTGTTAGCAAAGCACAATCGAATCACTGACTGATTCACAGTTTGTAACTCTGCTTAACGACAGTGTGTAATTGTGTGTAACTGCAATCTCCAATAACTATCCTAGTATAAAATGAAATTTATTGATCCATATACAGGAAATTATGTAACGGTTTTGTGTTCATAACTAAATTTCTTTATGGTAATATTTAAGTAATTCTGTGAATGGCTCTAAGCAGTCGTGCAGCTATGTCACCTTTACAGTCCTCGCTAGTGTATGGAGCCTCTCCCTCAGTGTGCATGTGACACACGACAATGTCCTTGAGACCAGAGCTCTTGCCATGGTCAGTCATAGCCTTGGCTAGTGTGATGGGGGTGGAGGCAGCTCCACTCAGAAATACTGTGTCTCCTGAAACACAACATACACTTTAACATATACTTTAGACATTAATAATACTTTACTTTAATACTTTTAATTGAAATGGCGACCATACGAAGGTAAGTATTTTAAGCCAATGAATGGTGGTGAGTGTAGCTTGAGACCTACTGTTTACAGTGAAATCCGAACCACATTTTTGCCTTGTAATTTATCAGGATAGTACTGCAGATAGTCCTAGTACTCACTAGTGTGGACGGTTATCCACACCACGGAGTATTGCATCTCCAGATCATGTAAATAAATATTCACAATTCCTTAACCCTTTCAGTGCTAGGCCAATAATTCATATTTTGTACGACTTTTTTGTTTGCCTTTTAATTCCATTACCTGTTGTTGAATTTTAACTGTCATGTTGTCACTATTTTAATAATTAGGCTAATTTTGAATAATAACACTTAATAAGAAAATATATAAGAATGATAAATCCCAGAATTTGTAGTAAACGGTAAATAAAACTTAGTTTTTGTTGTAATTTTCCTGGTTTTCCTATAAACTTTTATGTTCTGATACCATTATTTGAAACCAAAATCTCATAAAATCAAAAGACATATAGTTTACAATGTAATATTGAATTTAACCTTGATTTAGTTGGACGAGGTTATCGTAATATAGCCATTTTAGGGAAACTAATGTTTTGCAGCAAAGTCTCAGGAACACATTTATGATCACTGTTGTGTTTAAACTAAAAGATTTCATCTAAATAGTCCGTGACTAACTGGTGCTGCTACCTAGTAACGCATTGAACAACCATCTGTAGCGCCATCTGTTCGCAATCGGTGGCATCAGCTTAAATACCGGTTTTTGACTCCTCAGTCTTCAACCACAGATAGCCGAGAAGGCTAGGGCGTGTGTCACTTGGCCAGTGGCATTCGTCTGCTCGGGTTCGAGTCCCGTCCTGTGTGGCAAATAATTGGTTACCTGTGTGTTTGTAGCGATATACTACAACCACTGGGGCATAGTGAGGTGTTCATAATCCTTGGTTTAGACATACACCTCGAAATCATCGGATTGGGCGAATCTTTTAGCTAAGTGGTTGTTAGTGTATCCTATGAACATGCAGGTCACCAATGGCCGTTTTGCTTTTTTTTATACAACCTTCCTCTCTATATCCCTTAGAGATTTTTTAAAACAACGATATATCGTTTCATAGCACTGAAAAGGTTAATATAAAAAAATATGATAAGATTTTAAATGTTAATATGTTTTTACCTAGTAAATTGAAAAATACACTTTAAAAGTTGTTGTAGACCCTGGGGCGCTACATATGTGCACGCTCAGATTCCAAGGCCCGCGCCTTAAATCTTTCACCGATCGAAATGTAAATAAATATAAGAAGAATAGTGTTTTAAGTGATGTGATAACAAACTCTGTTCCTGAAGAAGCCACACTTGTGGCAAAATGAATATCAAACTTAAACATCAACAATTTTCAAGAATCTGTCAATCATAAAAACCAACATATTAAGCATCTAAAAATTAAACAACTATGGTACTAGTTTTACAGTACTGTATAAAATGTACATTGTTGTACTCCTTTAAAAAAAGTTAGGCTGTTTGAGGGGAAGTTCCCCAACTACTTTTTTCCTTAATATATATGGCCCAGCTGATTTATTTTATGGCAACCCTCAGCTGTTGAGCTATTATTCTCAAGGTATTGAACAGTGGAAGGAATAGATTTCTTCTTCTCCTAAAACCGCCTAAATTTTGTGAACAGAGTATAATAAACCAACTACATTTACCAATTCTATTTTTTTTTTTTTTTTTTTGGGAGAATTGTTTTCACCCTCCGTCATCATCGGTATGACCGTGTCCACTGACAGCAGTCCTACTAACTGTTGAGCCTCCAGGCGGGGCCTTTCCCAATTCTGGCAGTGGAAAAAGGTATGTTCCACGTCGTCGGGAATGCCTGGGCAATATATGCAATCGGGTGACACGGCTTTGCCCATCCTGAACAGGTACGACCGGAAAAAGCCGTGACACGTCAGAAATTGGGTGAGGTAGAAGTCCACCTCTCCGCACCGCCGACTAACCCAAGGTTGGACTTGCTGTATCAGTCGCCTGGTCCAGCGTCCCCGAGTCTCCTGTTCCCAGCTCTCCTGCCACAGCTGGTAGGTGCGGGTGCATTCCTCTGTTCGTGCCTGGTCCTCCCCACGGCGCTGATAAATTGACTTTCTCTCCGCCGCCAAAAGTTTGACGGAAATGACTCCAGCAACCGCCAGGACAGCGGGTTCGGACACTGTTCGGTCTAGGCGGATGCAACTCTTAGTGCTGCCTGACGCTGCACTCGGGCAAGCCGCATCCTATACACCTCTTTATTGAGAGCGTCTGCCCACACCTCAGCACCGTACAAGAGTACGGACTGGACAGAAGACATTAACAGCTTTCTACGGCTGAACCGAGGACCTCCGATTACCAATTCTAATAACATTACAATAAATGAACATATTACTTTGTTTACTAATGTCTAAGAGTTTAAGAACCCTCTTACATCTTCATAATTAGTTTCAAAACTAAATTGACAGAGTAGCTGAGTGATTGGTTGTAGTGCTCATTGTTCAATCTATAGGCTGTTAAAAATTATGGAAAGGAATAACTCTGGACCCAGTTGACATCGCTGTTGGACTAGTAATTATGCTTTTTATAAACAGGTTGAGGTTAGATAGAAGTAAGACCTGGGCTAGGACTGTACTCTTGCAGCAATCACAAAGACTGCCATTGGGGCATAAACATAAAAAAGTTTAATGAAAACCCATTTGGAAGTACTTAACTTCTAAAAAGTACAATTTGCACTCACATCATAAGCTATTTACTCAGCTTTGTTATCAATAAGACTATAGAATGTTGTCTTGAACCTCTTTTTCAACATCATATTTTATAAACGTAAAAAAAATTATGATAAGATGTTAAGTAATGAAAGATTCCTTTTTACACAATTCAAACAGTTTTTGTGCTTGCAAAAATATGAGGTGTTTGGCCGAAGCCCACCGTTCCCTCCTCCACCCCTGGTTTAAGTCAGAGACTTATTCAGCATCCCAGAGGGCTACATCCAAGACAAATAATAGCACTACTACAAAAATTGATTCTGGATTCAAGTGAAATAAACCTAAATAATGTTGAGCCAGCGGCGATAAGGAAATTCTATCAGTGGTTAAATTAGAAAATTGTTTCTAACACAACAGAACTTTAGGTAAAAAACCATTTGTTTACTTCAACAATTAGGCCTAATCACTAAATTAACGTGTTTGGCACATTCATCTTCTCAGTTGCCAGGTTGGAATAGGTCCAGAAGTTCAATGTAGGTTTGAGTTTTACATTGTCTACAAGTAGGATTTAGAAAACTTCTGATAGCTAATTATCTGTTCAACTTTTAAACATAAAAATTTTCTCACCAGGTTTTTCTTTTTAAAAAAACATATCTTAACAAATATTCCAGTTGCGGAAAACCTGCAGACTGAGCGATAGTCTTGCCTCTCATTTGGCTGTCCTATTCAATGCCCTACTTTGCTCTGGAATTTTGCATTGGTCTTAAAAGGAATATATATCTTAGGAAATAAAAGTCTCCAACTTCATCAAGTCTAAGAGCTTAATTTGAAAAAAAAAAGTTTAAATAAACTCCATATAGCCTATTGTGGTAGTTAAATTAAGTTTATGTGCTGATCAATAAGATGTACTAACAGCACCAGTATTTTACAGTTATTTAGGTAATGTAATAAAAGGGAGATACAGGACTTTCTGTGGTTCAATGCCAGAGGATTGATATAGCATTTTCAATGAAGTGAATGGTCAAACCTTGGTCTAATTAGACAGCATGATGGATCATGTAGTAACAAAGTAGCTCGGCAGGGTTAGTAGCACACCTTGAATTATTTCATTTCTTTAATAATAATTTTAACGGAAGGTATCTTGATATATAAAAGAAATCTTAATATATAAAAGAAAGTTGTGTTAGTTACAACGTTTATAACTAGAAAACTACAGAACCAATTGGCATGAAAATTTACAGGGATATTCCTTAGGTACTAGAATAACATAATAGCCTGTTTCCGTTTCAAAAACCCTTAAGGGAAGCGTCCTATGGCCCTTTGCAGTTTACATGTTAATCTTATGGAAGAATGTTTTATTTTGTTTACCATACCATGTTTGTCATTTCTTGATTAAATTAAATTAAGGAAACAGCTGTTGTAATGATAACCTAATTTTTAAAAACAAATCTATGCATAACAAATGAGAGCTATCAAATAGGTTTCTATTCCATTTGTTTTTTACGAATATTTGTTGTCAAATGTAACTGAAGGCAAGTGAGCGCAGCGAACGAGCTCCAACCTAAAGGACAGGTTATGGCAGGAAAACTAAAATAGCCTAAGCATACCTTTATAAAAAAAGAGAATCCACCTTTCGGTCAGTATTAAAATATTAAATTTTAAAGTTAACTGGGGCTGTCCAGACTTTATCTTGATTGCTCATCTTAAATAATTAAAATGACTGCCATTTTGATTAGGGGTGCGATATTGACCTCTGGTTTGCACCATTCAATTTCTCTTGATAAACCCTTTAAAATGAGGGTTCACATGATAGGTGTTTACATTTCAAAATTTGGGACAGCCCCCAAAATACTGCATTTTGGGGGCTGGGGAAAAGTTGTAACTTTGATGAAAAAGTGCAATTTCTTATGTTGTAAATATGTGCCGAGTTTGGTTTTCCTACTGCAACGCGTTAAAAAGTTAACTGGGGGGTTCCAGACTTTTGCCTAACCCTGTATATACCACTGCACCTTAACAATAAATACCCCCGCCGCAGCAAACCTGCCGACTAAGCGAATTTCCATTTGTCTGAATTGATTTTCAGTTAAATATATTTTAATAACATTAGGTTTAACGAGTACCTAGGTTTGCTGCTGCAAGGAAACTAATAAAGTGTGTTTTTGAGTAAAATATTGATAGCTTAGTACAAAATAAATAAATTTGCCAAGTT